CCCCAAAACCCCAAAACCCCAAAACCCCAAAACCCCAAAACCCCTTACCACTAAAATTCAGTAGAGGCTTAATAATTATTAAAATTTTGACTTAAAATGAAGAAGAAAAGCACAAAGAAATCTGTTCAGAAGCCCATCCTTGTTCCTGATGATACAAATTCCCAAGAAGAGAAGATAAAAACCCTGGCTGCTACCGGGATGAATACTGATGCTCAAATTGAGAGTAAGAACATTGAACAGTCTTCTTCCAAGCCAGAGACGAAAGACAAGAAAGCCAAAGAGGATAAGAAAAAACATGGTGAAGAGCGTGAGAAATAGATTCTTAAAAAGATTCATATCCTTGTCAACGAATTCAGAGGAATATAACCAGAGAGCAGAGATAGCCAAAGAATTTAAAGAATATTTCAAGAAAAAAATTTCTTGTTGAAAAGTAGAATTCTTCGGATCTTTCACTTATGGAGGCTATATTAATCGTGCATTAGCTAAATAAATTTGATGTCCCATGCAGCGATATCGATATAAACCTCACATTTTTGAGAAAGAGGGACGCAAAGCTATCACAGAAATCAGATGAAGAGACTTTATCTGATGACCTCGAAAATCAATATGAGATAGTAAAGGAATTATTAATTAGATCGGAAATATATGAAGACGTTCTATTGATTAAATGAAATATGTCGGTGATAAGGTGACTTCATATAGAAACAAAAATTCCCATTGATATCACCATTGCCAATGCTAGTGGAAAAGAAGGAAAGAAAATTATTAGAGAAATATTCAAAAATTACTCTAATTCCAGAGAACTTTCAATGATACTAAAAATTTTACTTATGAGAGCCAACCTCTAAACAAAACTGTGGATGGAGGATTATGAAGTTTTACACTTATAGCTGGATTCATATGGTCATTTTACTTACTGAAGAACAGTAATTTAATCCAATTCAAGGAGGTTTCCGTTAATGCAGATGGCTATCTAGTTTACCTTCCTCTTTCTAAAATCAATAAAGAAATAAATCGAGCATATGATAAATTTGTGACTCAATGATATTGATACAATTCTCATAAAGAAAAATGAACTAACTCTTTGACTTGAGAACTTGCCCAGTTTTGATCACTTTATGGTTTCAAATTCAATTTTAATCAGCTTGCACTGAATCCAAAATAATGAAGCAATCTTCGAAGCTAGGATCCCTGGAATGAAAATTCCATTTGGCCATATTGTAAATCCCCTACCGAGTGGAACCGGAGGTCGTAGAAATCTGTTGCAAAATGTGAAAAAGATGGTAAGCTTTACTTATTAATGTCTAGGACAAAGTCATAATATGATTTCAAGAAATATACAAAAGCATCATTTATTCTAGGAAAAGAAGAGGGGAGCACAAATAATGCTTTGAAAGAATTATTGAGAGTGTATGAATCTGAAACTAGGACATTTATAAAATCTAAAGATAAAGTACTTTTTGACAAAAAGAAAAGACAGCAAAGAAAGAGAAAACCAGAGGCTATTATCAAACAAGATGTTTCAAGAAGTAAAATAAATAGTTCCTCCAGAGTTGGACTAAAAATTTGCTCAGAAGATAAAATAAAGAAATTGTCTAAATCTAAAAGAGAGAGTTCATTGAAGGATCAGTCAAAAAGCATTTCTAAATCAAAGATTTCCAATACCCTGGGCAAAAGACCAAAAGGTGATATCAAGAATGAACCAAAAAGAGACTTAAAGAGCGATCCAAAGAATCAGACAAAGGGTGTCCAAGACAGCAAATCAAAGATAGAGTCAAAGAGTGAGAAAAGTAAAATCTCTCATAATCCTCAAAAATATGCTTCCGAAATTAGGACAAAAAGTGAACCTAAAAATAAGCTCGAAATTGTTCCTGAAAGTATGCCAGAAAGTTCCTCTAAGGTCAAGATCCAGATCCAGACCTTCTCTGGAGGAAAGTCAAAGAAGGAGCCTAAAGATAAACCAAAGAAAGCACCTATAGGAATGGCAAAGATGAGATCTAAAAGCAGGGCAAAGAGGGCACCTGTAAAGAAAACACCTAAACGCAAGCCAAAGAATGAACTTAAAAGAAAACCAACAGACACTTTCCAATGGGCATCTAAGAGTGACTCAGAGCCAAGAAGGGCAGATCCTATAATGACAAGATCCATGACTCGCAAAAAGAGGGAAGCCCAAAAGTAAGCTTTTCTACTTAATTCTGGTATGAACATTTCAAATTTTAAGTAACAAAACGGGGTTTTGGGGTTTTGGGGTTTTGGGG